TGATTAGTGACCTTTTATTCGATTTTGATTGTGAATTATTGAATGTTAGAAAAATACAAGGTTTCACATGGCGAAAATCTTAAGGCATTTATTTATTCACTAATCTCCATCCTACCCTCACACCCAACTCATCCCCACCCAACCCACCCACCTTGCCACACCCACTGTAAACCCAAACCAACCCACCCAACTCCCTACCAACCAACCCACCTCGAACCCCCAACCCACACCCACTCCAACCACCTCCAACCCACTCCCCCCTCCACTCAACCCCTCCAACTCCCTCACCAACAGGACTCAGCATACAGCACGAACGGGAGAAGGCCCTCGGACGCGAACTGGGGCGAAATCCAGGTCTTGGCCCAGTACAAGGAGACCGGGAGCTCTCAGGGGAGGGTCAAGATCGTCGTCCTGAAGGCGCAGAGCACGGTGGTCGGGGCCAAGGTAGGCGGTGCTGACGGGAAGAGAGATCGTTAGGCGTATATGATGATTTGATGATGGTGATGATAGCGATGATGATAATGATGATAATGATTTCGATAAAGATGATAATGTTGATGTTAACAATAATGATAGTAAGACGATGATAATAATGATAGTGATGAAAATGATAATGATAATAATGATAATAACAAGAGTAGTATTAGTAGTAGTGACGTAGTAATATCAATAATATTAACAATAGTAATAATAATAAAAAAGTTGAAAAGAAGTATATTGATGATAATGATATTAATATTATTGACGCAAGAGTGGAAATGTTTTTAACAATAGCAATAATTATTATCATTATTACTACAGTAACCATTACACCACTTTAACTGGCATAGATTAACCTTACCCTTATTATCAGTAGCACTCCCACCGTCACCATTATCAGTATCAAAAACAAAAAAAAAAGGAAAAGGCGAATCTTATCATTTCCACGAACTGTGACATTTTCGTTTTTCATTCGTTATTTTCCTCTGCTTCCTGTTTTCGTCTTTCTCCTTCTCCTCAGCAGACAAAGAAGGATTTTTTCCTCCTTCTCCTTTGCTTTATTATTGGCATTATCATTGTTATTATGATCATCAACGTTGGTATTATCATTTCATGTTATTGTTATTATCCTTATTGATTATCATTATCATTATTATTATTATTATTATTGTTATTATTATTATTATTATTATTATTATTATTATTATTATTATTATCATTATTATTATTATCATTATTATTATTATTGTTATCATCATTATCATTATCATATAATAATAATAATAATGATAATCATAATGTTAATCATAATAATAATAATGATATTAATAATGATAATATGATGATTATGATGATGATGATAATGATTCATTATTATCATTATGCGCCAACCCCCAAATTAAGATGCATTAAACTTCCTACCATCATTCTCTAGGATGTGATGAAAAATTACATTAATTCCTGATCCTCAACCACGAACCAGTCCACCTAAAATCAAATCAAATCATCACCAATCCACGAGCAATAAATTTCCATCGCAATCATCAAATTTTCCACCGAATCCAACCGACCGACCCCCTACCCATCACCCAACATCGACCCAGCCTCGCCAAAGGTAATGACACCACCCCATTTCACACCAGAATTCGGGCGAATACCACGTAGAAGTGATCATGAGGAGAGGTGAGGAGACGCTGGTTGTCAACACGACGAAGGCAGCGCTCGGCCTCAAGCCTGTGTGGAACGCCCCCTTTATCTTCGATGTGTCGCAGGAGAAGGTGAGGTGGGAGGAGGGGGGGTTGTGTGGGGTGGAAGGGGGGGGAGGGGGTGCGTGTGTGGGTTTGTGTGGGGGGGGGAGTGTTTGTGTGTGTGTAGGAGGGGGGGGGGATATGACGATTTGTGTGTGTGGGTGTGCGGGTGGGTAGTGGTGGTGGTGGGGGGGGGGGGGGATGTGACGGTTTGTGTGTGTGTGTGTAAGTATCTGTGTGTGGGGAGGGGGTGCGTGTGTGGGTAGTGATGGAGGGAGTGTTTGTGTGTGTGTGTGGCTAGTGGGGGGAATGTGTGTGTGTGTGTGTGAGTATCTGTGTGTGGGGAGGGGGGGTGCGTTGTGTGGTTTGCGTATGCTAGTGGAGGGGGAAGTGTGTGTTTCTGGGGGGATGTGACGGTTGTGTGTGGTGGGTAGTGGGGTAGGGGGGAAGTGTTTGTGTGTGGCTAGTGTGTGTGCGTGTGCGTGTGAGTATCTGTGTGTGGAGGACTGTGTGTGTGTGGCTAGTGGGGGAGGGTGTGCGTGGCGCGTGTGTGGGTGTGGCTAGTGGGGGAGAATGTGTGCGTGTGTGGGTGTGTTTGTGTCTATATGCAATGAAAAAGAAATTTGATTATGTATATAGGCATGTCCGTATATACTGTATGTATGTTTATCCGTATGTACGTGTTCGTATGTATGTATGCGTGTCCGTTTGTATGTGTTCGTATGTATACATGCGTGTACGTATGTCCGTGTGTATGTATCTATGGATGCATTCGTTTTTTTTTTCGTTTTTTTTTTTTATTTGATCTTATGTGTTATCAATTTCTTTCTATGTTTACTTCTTTAGTTATTGCAAATGCATTATTGCTGTTTTTTACGTGTTTGTTGTTCCTCCTACTTCTCTTTCTTCCTTTTCTTCAACATTTTATTTGCATTTACCTTTTTTTACCTTTCCTTTTTTCATTTGCTTTACCCCTCCCTTTATTCCTCCTCTTCCCCATTTCATATAATCTGAAGACCATTTTTACGTTAAGAATAAATATAAAGCTTGTGTAATATCTCTTATTTTCCTTGCCTATCATAATATTCATGCAGATTTATTGAAAGTAATATTTTCATTTGTTTTTGGATTTCATATTGCTGAAAATATTGTTATCAATTATTGTCGTTCCATATTATTGCTGTATTTGCAATGGAATTCATCAACAGCAGAATTATTATTATTGAATATTGCTTTTCCAAAATGTTTGAGAATGCTCTATTTGCAAATGAATTTCATTTTACTGAAATTGCTATTATTTCTTAAAAAGGAAAATGTTTTGATGGAATAATTCGGCTTTATATATTTTCAATGTTTGTTTTATTGTATGTTTGGCAATCTATCAATCTTTCTCCCCCCCCCCCTCTCTCTCTCTCTCTCTCTCTCTCTCTCTCTCTCTCTCTCTCTCTCTCTCTCTCTCTCTCTCTCTCTCTCTCTCTCTCTCTCTCTCTCTCTCTCTCTCTACCAATCTGTCTCTCGATCTCTATCTATCTATCGATCTACCTACTTAGGTTTCTTTCTTTCTCTCATTCACTCTCTCTTTCTCTGTTGAAGCAAGAATTACTGTCGGCGCAAACCTTATACCCCACAGCGTAAAGGACTATTGTTGTAATACATAGAGTCAATTTAACGTCACACAAATCAAACAAGAAACATCTCATTTAGCACTCAGCCGCCTCTCCATTTATTTAATTTATCTATCTATTATTATTTTTATTATTTAGATAAACGAGAATTGAATAGAACTCAATATGTATATTGTTTATTCTCCAAGCACCTCTCCCATTTTCTTTCCAAGATTTTATCTTCAAGCTCTTCTCCCATTTCCTTTGTCAATTTCATTCTCCAACCACTTTCCTCGTTTTCTATCCCAGGTTTAATCAACAAGCACCTTTCCCGTTTTTTTCCCTTCAGGTTTAATCTTCAATCACCTCTACCATTTTCTATCGAAGATTTTATCATCAAACACCTTCCATTTTCTAAGTTTATTCTCCAAACACCTCTTGTGTTTCCTATCCCAGGTATAATATTCAAGCTCCTTTCCCGTTTTCTAATCCTCAATCACCCTCCCCGTTTTCCTTCTTAAGTCCTTCTCCAACCACCTCTCCCGTTATCTTTTCTAGATAAACGAACACTGGATAGAACTCAACCTGATACGGCTGGGATGGACCAAGCGGAAGGTCACTCTCGGCCAGGCCTTCCTCGGTCTGGGCACGACTCCAAGGGGCTCGCAGCACTGGCAGAGTATCGCCGAGTGCCCGGGCCGAGAGGTGACCCTGTGGCACCCTGTGGTTCAAGAGGAGTGAGGGAAGAAGGGGTGGAGGGAGGAAGCAGGAAGGAAGGGGGCGGAGGAGGGAACGGAGGGAAGAGGATAAGGAGGGAGGAAAAAGAGGAGGAAGGGAAGATTAAGAGGAGAAGTGAGGAAAGAAGAAATATCATAAGGAGGGAAGGGGAGGAAGTGGGATGAAGGGAGGAAAAAAGGGAAGGGGGAAGGGAAGGAAGAAGCGAAGGAGGGAGGGGGAAGAGAAGAGGATAAGGAAGGAGAGGGAGGGAAGAGGATAGGAGTATGGTATATGGAGAATAGGAGTGAAGGAGTAGAAAATATCGAGGGTTGAAGGGAGGAGGAGGGAGGCAAGTGCAATGCAAGGGAGGGAGTGAGCGAGCAATTTTGGAAGAGGGAGTAAGAGAGGTTGAGAATTAGGCAACGGGAGGGAGAGGGAGAAATTGGGGAAAAGGGTTAGGGTGAGCGAAGAAGGATAAGATTATCGGAGATGAGTGGATAAGATACGGCAGGAACTTATAATGTACGAGATAAAAAGGGTGGGTAAAAGAGGGAGCGAAATATTGTCAATAAACACATTTAACTTTTTTTTCTATAAGTCGGGTAATACTCTGTATTATTTTTTTATGTGTATAAATTAAGTCTATATGGTACGGTATATCCCTTAGGAATAAATTACTATATGTTCTTATTAACTCTGTGAAATAAAGACTATATTATATGATTTTTTTTTGTCCAAATATATGTGTATGCTTGCAAATAAGGAACAGTATATGTAATATGTAAATAATGTGTAAATATGTGCGATATATTTTAGAACAATAAGATATGTATTCTTCCACATGCATATCAGAAAGTAAATAAAACGATAAACTAACAAATATAAACTTTATTTGTAAAGTTGGCACCTCAACCAACTAAAAAAAAGTTTTTTTTTGTACGCATATTTTCCCTTTAATATTTTGTTGATCTCATTAGTCCATTGTTAATCAACTTCATCAATGTTTTTATATTACTTTGTGTACTAAGTAAAAAAAAAACTTTATAATCAGATACAGTGAAAAGTGGTCATTAATCACATGATACAGAAATGAAAAATCATATAATCCTAATCAAGCTACTGATTATTTATCTTTCCACAAATTACCTTTTACACAATGGCAGCAGCTCTCCCAATGTTACCGAAATTTTACGCCCAAGAACAGACCCTCTAATTTTACCAATTAAATTTCATTCATTCAGATACAAAAGTTTTTTCCCCAATGTTTATCAACGTTTACGCCCGAATAACAGATTCTCTAATGTTGTGCTCATTTCTTTTTACAATGTCAGGCAGTTTTTCGATGTCAGCTTTTACAGAACACCAACAGTCTCTTCTATTTAGGCAATTAACTTTTTATACAACAACAACAGCCTTTCCGATGTTTTCTCCTCGGAACAGTCCGATGAAAGCCTGAGGCATGTTCTCGAAGCCTTGGGTGACCGTCTCTTTGTACTTCATTTTGCCCTGTTCACGGGAAAAAAAGATCAGTAATTATTCTGTAGATTGGTAAGATAAAAAGGGAATAAGAAGTTTAAAAATCATTGATGAAACATGAAGGCAAAAGGGGTAGGGGAGAATGTGGAGAGAAGAATATCTAGGATATAAAGACTTGGAAAGTATTCCATGGTTCAAAATATCTATGAATCTAGTATGGGTCTCCTATGTCGAAAATTATGGTGTAATGTGTGTGTGTGTGTCTGTGTGTGTAGAATTAGAATTTGAGAACGTGTGTTATGGAGAATCTTACTTAAGGATATTAATCACGCGGTTCTATTTTCACATTTGAAATTCATCATTACATATTTCAGGTCTCAGCCAGTATTATCCTTGATTTATATATGCTGATCCTATAAACACTGGAATGCACTTCTCTTTGTATTAGACCGTCTATAAGTGATGGCTGTATTACTTTTCATTTTCGATTCCGAATATGGCCATAAATATTTTCTTTCTGTCCGGTACCAAGCATATGAATATACTGATATTTATACCATTATATTAAGAAACTATCATGCTCACATATACATCAGAACACCGTATTGTTTGATCAAACAGGAAACAGTCAGATTGAATGTTACATTTACAAAGAGATAAAGACATACTAAAATACTTACCTTTACTAAAATGTACCAATATCTTTTGTACATAAGTCGACTATCCTCTGGAAGATACTTACATATAAAATCAACAAGATATAAAACATACCAGTATACTTAGATATACTGAATCATCAAAGGCATGGGTGACCAACCATGGTCGATCACAAGCCTGTTTTAAGTCGATCACACTACTGTACCTGTTAATGATTCATCCTTCAGAAGTTGTCATGCAAATAGCTGCAATACTTGATACTTGCATTCTTACATTTCTCTTTTTTCTGGGAATGTTATATTTATATTTATAGATATTGACGTCTGAGCAAAATACAATTATTTTTAAGTTTGAATCTTAAACTGGTAGATCGCATCAGGGTAACTACAGAAAAAGTAGATCCTATCTCACCAAAGGTTGGTCACCCTGATCTAAGGTATGCACAGAAAAAATACTTACACGCCGATATACCGCGGCTGTTTAACCTCCTTATCAGTCGAAAAGGTATGACTGAGAAATATATACATAAGAGAAAAGAGAAAATACATAGCATACATATACGTTCTATGTATATAAGATATAATCGAAACCGGCCAAATACATCTCTTGTATTGAGAAGATATCCATTCTCATTCATATCTTTCCTACATTTGTCATCATGAATACGGTTCCTCCTTATCAGTCTTGGAGCAATGGAACGTCCAAAAAACATACCAACAGATATACCAGTAAGTAGATGTACTAACCTCCTGCACCCACTGCTTCAACTGCGTGAGTCCCTCCAGCCAGCGGTTTAGCCAGCGGTTCACCAGGAAACCTTCAATACGCAGTTGTTTGGTGATTATGAGAGAAGTGTCGTATGGACCTGTTGGAGGGAGTGGTTCATTGGTGAACGAACATTGGATAGAAAATTTGATGGGAACTTCAGTGTTGATTGTGATTACTGATGCCTGGGGTGAGTGTAATCTGATGGATTGAATAAGTTGAAAGTGATTTTTAAAAGGTAAGATAGTAAAATGTTCTAAATGTAAAACCAAAAAGGTTAGTGTTATGCCATTATTATAATATTTGTTTTGTATATTGTCATATATGCATGTTGTTACATCCTCATAAGTTATGATAAATTTTGCTATCCACACCATCACTGCCAGTTCATATAACCAATATCACTATGGTCCGTTTAATTTTCATAATTTGCTTTTAACACTAAAATTCGTGTAACCAATATTCTGATGCTATCACTACAGATGTTCATCATCTTTATCATAACCACAATCATGCTCATCATCCGAATATCGTTTCCATTTCATAACAACCACCACTTTTCATCACCACCACTGCCACAATCATCAGCAGCATTATCACACCACCACCATCACGCACCATCGTTTATCTCACCAATACATAAGCATCACCATCCTCACCACCCCCATCATTTCCACAGTCACCACCACCAGTACTATCCTCACCATCCACCGCTGCCAGCACCACCATCCTCACCACCCCCACCATTACCACTACCATCTTCACCACAATTACCATCACACCCCCACCATCACCATAATCACCACCAGCCTCACCCTCACCACAACACCACCCCACAATACGTACTATTAGCGACCAATTTCCCTTGGTCTTTGCTTTCGTTGTTGTAGGTGGAGATCGCGCCGCAGACCGAAATGCGGGCGTGGTCGACCATGTGTCTGAGGGCGTGAAGAGTGAAGTCGCCGCCCACCTGAGGAGAACGTGAGGGGAAAGTGAGTTATCGGTAGTTAGTGATGAGGAGGACGATGCCTTTGAGGAGACTATGAGGCGGGTATGAGAGTGTAAGATGAGGAGAGAGTATGAGGTGAGTGAGGAAAGGGATCATGATTTGAAGCACATTTAAGGAGAAAATGAGAGGAAAATGATAGTGATGAGGTGATGGTGATTTACTCGCGGACGATGAGGACTATGAAATGTCACTGCAAAAAAACAAAAACAAAAAAACACGTCGAACTAAAAGTGATTTTTAATTGTTGTTATAATAAACTTTGGACCATTCATTGAAATGAGTTAAATTAACTATATAAACTCTTAAATAAATAAAAAGTTACAAGCATTAATAATAACGAACGATTATGCTCTCTCTCTCTCTCTCTCTCTCTCTCTCTCTCTCTCTCTCTCTCTCTCTCTCTCTCTCTCTCTCTCTCTCTCTCTCTCTCTCTCTCTCTCTCTCTCTCTCTCTCTCCTCTCCCTACCCTTCTCTCCCCTCCTCCCCCTTTACCTCCCACGCCCATTTCTTTCCCTCCACCCACTCTCATCCATCCACCCACACTCCACTCACCCCACATCTACCCCTTTATTCATCCACTAACACCAAGTATCACCCACGCCTACAACCACCTACGACAACATCCACCCCCTCATCCATCCACCCACGCCTACATCCATCCCCCCAGCCATCCGCCCACGCCCACAACCGCCCACATCCACCTACATTGTCGAAATAGCAGTGGATTCCCCCCGGCGCCGCCTTCTTCAGCTCCTCGTCGATGTTGGCGGTCTTGTAGTTGAAGACGTGGTCGGCGCCGAGCTCCTTGACCCAGGCGCACTTGTCCTCCGACCCGGCGGACGCGATCACCTTGCAGCCTGGGGGGGGGGGGGTTAGGCTAGGTTATGGGTATATTTGTAAGCGCGCGTATATATATTTATTTATATGTAAATATATATATATATATATATATATATATATTTATATTAAATATATAATATATAATATATATATATATACATACATATATATATATATATATAATATATATATATATATATATATTTCATTTATATGTAAATATATATTATATATATATATATATATATGTATATATATGTATATATGTGTGTGTGTGTGTGTATATATACACACACAGACACATATATATATGTATACATACATATATATATTTACATATATATACATGTATACATACATATATATATATATATTATATATATTATACTTATATACATATATATATTAGATATATATACACATATATATATATATACATATATATATATATATATATATTCTGTATATATATATATATATACCTATACACACGATAATACCTACGAACATACATTCATACATATATGCATTCTTGTAAATCTCATTCATAATCAGCACTGCCAACAGCGCCCCCCCCCCCTCGCCTCAACCAACCTTTGATCTTGGCGATCTGGACCACGGCGCTCCCGACAGCTCCGGCGGCAGCGTTCACCAGCACGGTTTCTCCCTCCTTCGGGTTGCAGAGTTCGAGGAAGCCGAAGTAGGCGGTGTTTCTGCAATGGGTTGAATGGGTAATGGGCTGAACTGACTATCCCCCATCCCAGTCCCTCTCTTTCTCCTCATTTACCTACCTACCTACCCACTCTAGCTTTACCTCTTTCCCTTTCCTTTACTCTCCTTTACCCTCCTGACTCCACCTTATTCCCTCCTCACCTACCTACTCCCTTTAGTCTTAAATCCCCCCTCCCATCCACACCCTCATTCCCTCCCTCCCTCTTTACCTACTTATCTACCAACCCATTCCAACTTCACCCCCATTTTCTTGGTTATCCTCTACCTCCACACTCCCTCCTTCCCCACTTACCAACCCATTTTGATTAATCCCCTTTCCTTCCCCTTCACCCTTCCCTCTTCACCTCAATTCCCTCCCTTCCTCCCTCCTTACCTACTTACCTACCAACCCACTCCAACTTTACCCTCTTTTCTCCCCCCATACTCCCTCCCTCCCTCCTTCCCCACTTACCCAGGCATTCCAATGACCCCAAGGCCTAGAGTCTTGGACATGCCACTCAGGTCAGGCAAGGGGGAGTACATGAAGCCAACTTTCTTCAGCTCCTCCGCCGGGATGTGGGTGTGGGAGCGCCAGCCAGTGTAGCACATCAGGTAGGACCCGACCTTCCATTGAGGGTTCTTGCTCTCGATCACTCTGGGGGAGAGGGGGAAATACAATAATAGAATGCACCAATACAGTGCGTATACAGTATTACTAATAGAAATATAACAGACTTCCATTATTGATTCTTGCGCTCGATGAGGAAATATATCAATATAATACAAGCATACACTGTAAATTACACAATATAATATACTTGAATATGAGGTTAGAATATAGCAGAATGCAACAATGTAATGTAGTGAGTACAAATAATTGTTGCCAAGCTAAATGAGCAGGGATTTTCTCGGAAATAAAGGAACATCAGAGTTGAGGAAATATATTACATTTACTTTAGATTCCCCTAAACCTATGCTCGTTTTCTTTATGAACACCAAAGAAAACTACCGGGATGTCTAATATATTAATCAACAATTCTTGTACAGTCAAAATGGGGTATATGGATACAGCACACACACACACACACACACACAACACACACACACACACACACACACACACACACACACACACGCACACGCACACGCACACGCACACGCACACACACACACACACACACACACACACACACACACACACACATACACACACACACACACACACACACACACACACACACACACACACACACACACACACACACACACACACATGGAAATGAAAAAATACATAGAAAAATATATTAAGATAAAATGCATTCATACATCTGTAAACACCCACGTACACACTCACACACATACACCTACACACACACACACACACATATATGTATATATATATATATATAATATATATATACATATATAATATATATATATACATGTGTGTGTGTGGTGTGTGTGTGTGTGTGTGTGTGTGTGTGTGTGTGTGTGTGTGTGTGTGTGTGTGTGCGTGTGTGGTGTGTGTGTGTGTGTGTGTGTGTGTGTGTGTGTGTGTGTGTGTGTCGTGTGTGTGTGTGTGTGTGTGTGTGTGTGTGTGTGTGTGTGTGTGTGTGTGTGTGTGTGTGTGTGTGTGTGTGTGTGTGTGTGTGTGTGTGTGTGTGTGTGTGTTGATTAATTGATTCCCAGTTGCTCAGCTGAAGTGGACAAAGTTATGACGCTTTTATGATAACACCATGTTATCTTCCCACTCTGAGATCACCTATTACAATGACGACAAACGTGAGCTCCCGCTCGACAGTAAAGCAATATTTTGTTTGCGGTGTTGTTCTTTCATACAAAAATAACGTCATTATGTTTTGCCCATGATATCGGTCGAGGAAAAGTACAGTTTGAAGGACATTTCACAACAAAACGGCGTGAGTTTTATATCTTTAAGACGAAGAAATCTTTTTTAGTTGACGGAGATCATGAAATATCCAGCCCTTGAACCCAGAGATTGAAGGCCTTAAGTTACTTGTTATATGTAAAGGTGCTCAATCACCACATTGTTTACATTGTTACTAAATAGAAGAGGGAAGAGAAGGTTGCTAACCCGCGTACATTACAGTGCCTCACTTTGGATAGCGGACCGTTCCCTCCGTTATATAGGCCTGCGTCATTCTCGCTCTAGTGTTAGTGCTCTAGAGTGATAAGCAGAAGGCCTCTCGCGTTTCCTCTTGAAAAAAAGATAATTCTTATGTAACCAATGGTCTTTGAAGACCGGGTTTTTGTGGCCATGAAGTTAAAGGTCCGAGGTCTGATTGCCACTAACCTGATAGCGAGATTTATCGCCTTGTATCATTATACATCATAAAAATTATAATACTAGTCTGGTACTTCTAGGGCTTTACAAATGGGCCAAAGTACTCATTTCAAATTCAACAAAGGATAAACTGGCAACTAAAGCCTGGCTTTCAAGTCTTCACATTCGCCAAGTCACTCCTTAAGGAATAATAGCAATGTGGCATTGGAGAAAGCAAATTCCAATAGATAAAAAGAAATCATACATCTGTAAGAACAAATAGTAAGATTCAGTTTATTAGAATAAAGAAAAAGCGAATTGGCGAAACAGAGTACTTGAGTTCCCAGTTGTTGTTTTTTAAACTGGACATATTAATAGTCACGCTGTGTTACGACCTCTAAATGAATGTTCTTTTTAAATTCGAAAGCAACTCGTTTCATGCACGACCGAGCACTTCATCCGGAGACAAAATAAGTGAAAAAATACGGCAGTTGACTGAAGTTCCACAATAAAACGACTAGGAAATAGTCCAGACGAAGTGCCCTAAGAATTTGTGATCTGATATAAGGTGACGTATTTGTAGTGGAGACGCCTTATCCCTGCCGAAAATCAAGACTACACCAGGAATGAGCCGATAGAAATATAAGTTATATTGTTAATTAACCCCCCCCCCCCACTAACCATTTGCAAGGAGGTTAGAGGAGGGCACTGAGAGGATGTTTTGTAACGACTTAGCCTAAGGTGGTGAGTATTGATACGTATTGGGTTTATACAGTGGCATGTTTTACATTTTCTGTTCCTGGATGGAGTACGAAAGTCAGTCTAACTCACTCACTCACTCACTCACTCACTCACTCACTCACTCACTCTCTCTCTCTCTCTCTCTCTCTCTCTCTCTCTCTCTCTCTCTCTCTCTCTCTCTCTCTCTCTCTCTCTCTCTCTCTCTCTCTCTCTCTCTCTCTCGTGTACTTTTTTTTTTTTTTTTTTTGCAAGGGTGTATGCATACACCGCACATGTATACTCTAATATATTCTTGCAAATAACACTTCCCCCCAAAAAAATATATCTGTTCATATCAAATATCGACAGTACAGATCTTAGCATCTTGAATTCTATTCCATTATAAAAAGTTACACAAGATTACCAGTGACAAAAACGTAACGGGACAAGTGACCTTTTCCCTTCTAGACAATAGACGTTTGTCACTTTCTTTCTTTTTGCCATTTTAATGTTTCGATCTTGGCCTTTTTATATATTTTATTTTTATTTTTGTTATTATTATTTTTTAATGATAGTAATGGCCATGTATCATTACCATTTCAAAAGTTGAAAATATATGAATAAATGAATAAAAGGCAAGTATTATATCATTCATCTCATTTGTTATCTTTAGATAGATAAGTAGGACTAGATTATATGTAGACGCGTAGATACAATGATTGATTGATATACTGACAGATTGATTAATAGGACAAATCAGAGAGAGACAGACAGACAGACAGACAGAGACAGAGAGAGACAGAGAGAGACAGACAGGCAGACAAAGCTTATCCGACCAAGGCACGTCCCTCACCGGGCTACTTGTCCTCCGACCATCACGCTTCCCACGGGAATCATCCTCGCCCGATACCGCATGTACGGGTCGACGCTCAGGCACTCGGCTTCGATGATCACATCTGAGGGAAATAAAAGGAGTTTTAGTTAAGGTATAAGTGTGAATCTCTGTATGTGTATATGTATTAGTACAAGCACATAGGCCTATACAGAGGCACATTCACCCACGTGTTTGCCTCTCACGTCTCCCCTCCCTCCTTCCTCCTTTCCCTCCCCTCCCTCCCCTTTCCCGTCCCTCTCTCTCCTCCTCTGCCCTCCCCCCCGTCCTCTCGCCCTCCCCTCCTTCTCCTTTCCCTTCCTCCCTCCTCCTTTCCCGTCCCTCTCTCACCTCAGCCCCTCTCCCCGTCCCCTCGCCCTCCCCTCCTTCTCCTTTCCCTTCCCTCCCTCCTCCTTTCCCGTCCTCTCTCACCTCAGCCCCCTCCCCTCGTCCCCCTCGCCCTCCCCTCCTTTTCCCTTCCTCCCTCCTCCTTTCCCGTCCCTCTCTCACCTCAGCCCCCTCTCCCTCGTCCCCCTCGCCTCCCTCCTTCTCCTTTCCCTTCCCTCCCTCCTCCTTTCCGTCCTCTCTCACCTCAGCCCCCCTCTCCCCGTCCCCCCCTCCCTCCCTCCTTCTCCTTTCCCTTCCTCCCTCCTCCTTTCCCGTCCCTCTCTCACCTCAGCCCCCTCTCCCTCGTCCCCTCGCCCTCCCCTCCTTCTCCTTTCCCTTCCCTTCTCCTCCCTCCTCCTTTCCCGTCCCTCTCTCACCTCAGCCCCCCCTCCCCCGTCCCCCTCGCCCTCCCTCCTTTCTCCTTTCCCTTCCCTCCCTCCTCCTTTCCCGTCCCTCTCTCACCTCAGCCCCCTCTCCCCCGCCCCTCGCCCTCCCCTCCTTCTCCTTTCCCTTCCCTCCCTCCTCCTTTCCCGTCCCTCTCTCACCTCAGCCCCCCTCTCCCCGTCCCCCTCGCCTCCCCTCCTTCTCCTTTCCCTTCCCTCCCTCCTCCTTTCCCGTCCCTCTCTCACCTCAGCCCCCCTCTCCCCCGTCCCCTCGCCTCCCCTCCTTCTCCTTTCCCTTCCCTCCCTCCTCCTTTCCCGTCCCTCTCTCACCTCAGCCCCCCTCTCCCCCGTCCCCCTCGCCCTCACCTCCTTCTCCGCACGCCGGCAGCTGCTCCTCCTGCAGCTTGAAGTCCTCGAGGGTTGGTTCTCCCTGGGGCCTCTTAGCCAGAACCCAGACCTTGGCAGTCACCATCTTCGTCAGTAGTCGTTATTGTTCTGAAAAGAAAAGGGAATTTTGCACTTTGTCATGGTTCTGTTCGGGCTAGTTTGGAATTCGTTGTCTCCTTATGTTTTCTTGTGTCGTTTTTCCTACAAGATTAATGTTGTTGTTTTGGTTTGGATATCGACGCTATCTACGCCACTGATTTTTGTTTATTTTAAAATTAAAACTGATAGCGGATATCCACTTGTTATATGTCCACTTATCGTTTTATCTTGCTTATTGCTTATCGTTGCAACTAAACGTAACGACCTTGATTGGACACACACACACACACAGACACACACACACACACACACACACACACACACACACACACACACACACACACACACACACACACACACACACACACACACACACACACACACATACACACACACACACACACCATATATATATATATATATATATATATATATATATATATATATATATATATATATATATATATATACATTCTCCTCTTTTCTCTAAGGCCTAAGGATAGGCCTATGTGGACAGTCTTCTCAGTCATTGCTGTTGTCAACTGTCGGTTTTAGAGAGATCTTGTAACTTACGATCTATATGAAGAATATCAAACACTTTTTGATCAGGCATCCATTTTCTTTACCAATCCTTTGTACACCGCCCGCAAGATATAGGCCTATAATACCGACTCTACAGTGATAATCTCATTCTACTCTCCTTCTCATCACCATTAGCCGTCGCTTCATTATGACCCTTATCCTCATTATCCTACTACCAGTATTCCTATAATGAATGCATAACGGATGAGGCCTCTGCTCCCTTCAGAGATACACTCATTAATGCATTCAGACATAAACCATGACATATGCACAATTTTGGGTTTTGAGAAGGAAACCCACTCATAAAACGGTGTCGAGGGCGAACGAATGATACACGGATAGGCCTGTGTAGAGGCGTAAGAAGCCGAAGACGTTATAGGAAGACCGCCACGCCATACGAAGGTATTCTGCCGTAAAGCTGTACCAATCCTATTAATATAAATTATAGCATATTATACCATGATCTTGATGAGGAAGGTACTTGCAATCGAAAAAAAATATTTCATTTTTAAGAATAACTATCCTCATGCTGATATCATCGAAATGATAGTAGCACTGATAAAAGTAATGATACGAATGTCATTATTATGGATAATGATGATAATGAATTCTTAGACAACATAATGTGATAGCATATCTACCGGATTTCCTTATAGCAGGAAAAACAAAATTCATCTGTTTCATCTAATTCTATTTTTCCTTCTTTTTATCCCCTGTCCTTCACTTTTTGTACTCTGTGTTATGTTTGTGAGAGAGAAGGTTATGAAGAAAGAAACAAAGAAGCGTCGAAAGAATGTAGATAGGCAGATAGATAGATAGATAGATAGAAAGAGAGAGAGAGAGAGCGGAAGAGAGACTTCCATAACCTAACACCATTGGCATTCTCTACCTACACCAACGAGCCACGTGTTCTGTAATTCGATTCCGGTGATAATTCTCGCAGTGTAAACGACCCCCCCCCCTTCCAAACCATGTCCCCAACCCCTGCCTCCTGCCCCCTATCCCCTCCGCACGATAATGATTATAAGAATGATAATGATAATAATAGTAACATAGGCAGAGTACTTCAGTAAGAACAATAATGATAATGATATAGAAAATATGTCACTAGTTGAATAACGAACATGGAATAAGACTTTACGACCGTGCCGAGATCAGCAGACCGAAAATGATAAGTCGCTCTGGTCAGCTTCATTCCGCATGAGACCTCACATCAAGCAGGTCCCATACGGTCTCATATTATTATTCTATTGTTTTCCCGGATAAGGTTAATATAGAGAGAGATCTGTGGTTCCCATTTTTTTTCATTTTGTGGCCCTTTGGAAAGATCAATTTAATAACACGCGAGAGATAATTATATGCAGGTACTGTATCTGGGATTAAAGTGTTTCGACTCAACGTTATAATTGCTATACTGTTCGAAGGCTCTCAGACTGGGACTCCCTGGTATAGAGGGTACTGTTTGCAGCCTACAGATACCGGCCTGAAATCTCGAGAGCAAGCCATTCACCTCTCGGGTTTTTTTTTTCTTTTTTTCGTTGCCCGGGATTTCCCCTTCATTTGCACGGCGCTACAGTCTCCCCTTTGTGTTTTTTCTGTATCATTCATGTATTTTTGCTAGGCTAAAAAGTCTCCACTGCCACGATTTTACGAAGATAATAATTACCCGCATACCGCTAGAGAGAGAGAGAGAGAGAAGAGAGAGAGAGAGAGAGAGAGAGAGAGAGAGAGAGAGAGAGAGAGAGAGAGAGAGAGAGAAGAGAGAGAGAGAGAGAGAGAGAGAGAAGAAAGAGAGAGGGGGGGGGAGAGGAGAGAGAGAGAGAGAGACAGAGAGAGAGAGAGAGAGAGACAGACAGAGAGAGTGAGAGAGAAGAGAGACAGACAACAGAGAAAGAGAGAGAGAGAGCAAACACAGCTTTTGTTTTTTTCGCGGAAATCTCGCGTTTGTTAGATTTTAGTCTCTATTCCAGTTTTTGCTCGATATGTTCAACAGGGTGTATATTCTTGAAGGCTTTAGAATGAGTTTTTATAATCATTATTATTAATATCGTTATAGCCAAATGATGACTACTACTGCTATTACTATTAAAATTTATATCTAAATTATCTTTATTATTTTATGGTATTGTTATTATCGTTATTATTATCATTGTCATTATTATTATTGTCATTATTGTTATTATTATTATCATTATCAACATCATTATCATTATCATCAATAGTATTATTTTCATTATTATTGTTATCATCATCATTACTACAACTACTACTGTCTTCGTCTTCTTCTCCTTGTTCTACTCCTACTACTACTACTATTTCATCTTCATCGTCTTCTACTGCTACTATTACTATTATTTCTTCTTCTTTTTCTTCTACTGCTACTTCTACTACTATTACTTCTAAATAATAAAAAACAGTATTTTATTTTTCAGGCTGAATCAAAAACATTTCTTTTTCATCTCGTTTTTACCAAAGAAGGCCAAGCATCAGTGTGAAGAAACGGGACAGGTTTCGTCCGTTGAGGAAAATTTTACAATAATCACAGGGCGGAAAATGTCCACCTTGAAAAAAAGCGCGTGAGGTGACTGAGACAAAAAAAAAAAAAAAAAAAAAAAAAAAAAAAAAAAAAAAAAAAAAAAAATGCTGGGAGCGATTGTGCACAGCCCGCCGTGCAAAAGTCGTGGGAGGAGATTATTGCAGACTGATCCCAGGGCTATGCAAGTGCTTCTATAGACAGACCCGCTTTGTAAAAACATGGGAAGGATTCGGGGTTAGGCTAGTCTCGCTGCAATAACAAAAGGTAAATTGTCCGTTTAACGCGTAGGTGAGGAAGGGGGGTAGGGGGAGGGACAGAAGCAGGTGATGTTGACTGAAATGTGTATCTGTCTGATTTTTAAATTTTGAAATATCTGGTAATAATTCGTTATTTTTTTATTGAAAGACCTTCATAATAATAATAATAATAATAAATTCGAAGATTCTGGTAGCAACTGGCTGCAAGAAGGGGGAGGGGACAGAAATAAGTGATGAATGAAATGTTTCTGCTTTTTTTTTTTTTTTTTTTTTTAACTTTGAATCATCTGGAAATAATCGATTACTCTTTTTTTTTTTTATTGAAAGCCCTTCAGAAAGATTACGAGTTGAAGATTCTGGCAGCAACTGGCTTAAACTGCTTCATGGACAGAGTCACAATGAATAACACCGCACAAGGGAAATACGTCTCCCTGTGTTCAGTGAAGATCCGGCTTTCCAGTTTAGTTACTTTTTCTTCTTCCCTTTGGGGGGTGGGGGGTGGGGTTCCTATTGATTCCCTCTGTTTGTTTCCTCCCAATTTATTTTTCTCTCGATATCGTCATTTTTTGCTCTCTCCTTCCCCCTTCCTAACTCCCTTCTCTCTTCTCCTATCTTCCCTCCCTCCCTTACTCACCCTCCGTTTTTCTCCCTCGCCCTCTTGCTCTCAACTCCATCTCTCTTCTCCCTTCTCCTTTCCTATCGCCTAACCTCCTTCCCTTCAGACCTCTTTCTCCTCCTCTTCCTCCCTTCTTCCTTATTCCTCCTCCCTCCTGACCTTCCCGTCCTCCTTTCTCTTTCCTTGCTCCTCCTTCCTTCCTTCTCCTACTCTTCCTCCACTTCCTCCTCCTCTTCTCCTCCTCCTCCTCCTCCTCCTCCTCCTCCTCAACCTCCTCCCTCCTCCTCCTCCTCCTCCTCCTCCTCTTCTTCTCCTCCTCCCTCCCTCCTCCACCTCCTCCTCCTCCTCCTCCTCCTCCTCCTCCTCCTCCTCCTCCTCCTCCTCCTCCTCCTCCTACCTCCCTCTTCCTCCTCCTCCTCTTCCTTCTCACACCTCCCTCCTCCCTGACTGTTTTAACAATGAAGTACATTTTAGCCTACGTCATACTCCGAAGAGTTGGTATGACGTCAGAAAACTCCTCCTCCGCCTCCCCCTCCACTTTCCCTTCACTTCCCCTCCCCCTCCTCCTCCTCCTTCCGCTCCTTCTCCTCCTTCCTCCTCTTCCTCCTCCACCTCCTCCTCTTCCTCCTCCACCTCCTCCTCTTCCTCTTTCTCTTCCCTTTAACCTCCTCCTCTTCCTCCTTACTCTCCACCTACATCTTCACCACCTCCTCCTCCTTCTCCTCCCTCCCTCCTCCTTCCTCCTCCCTCCTCCTTGACTGTTTTAATAAATGACGTATTTTTTCGCCTACGTCACACCCGAAGAGTTTGGTGTGACGTCAGGAAACGCAAGTCACGTTCAGGTATTTTCTGATGACTCGCATTTACGCTCAAGTCGGCTGTGTTTGTTTTGTTGTAGGGTGTAGGGTTGGTGTGAGTGTGTGTGTGTGTGTGTGTGTGTGTGTGTTGTGTGTGTGTGTGTGTGTGTGTGTGTGTGTGTGTTGTGTGTGTGTGTGTGTGTGTGTGTGTGTGTGTGTGTGTTTTGTATGTGTGTGTGTG